ATAATAATATTCACTCAACGTCAAATAATATCCACGGAGAAACATCAACAATAATATTCACATAACATCAAATAGTATTCACCAAGCAAAGCAACAATAATATTCATATTTATAGTACTATATATAAGCACCAAGATTTAAAGTGATATAGCCCAATCATCGGGAAATCAGGAAACCCTACCTCATGTCCAGCTAGCTTAACCTTGTGCAGTTTCGTCCTTAAAAGTACGCAGAGTAGAACACCTAATTAAGATAATTGACTGATTAAAATTCATTGGAAATAAGGAAACAAAGTTGAGTGTCCTACTAGCGCACGTAGACCTAAAACCCCGAAATATACTTGACAAGTTGTTTGACCCGATTGTTACTCCCTTAACCTCACATCCAAGCAAGCATAGAACCAAGCGTTAAGGAAAAACTAATTTATTCCCCTCCTATAATAGTTCTACTCTTTGGGCTGTTTAAAATCAGGTGGTTCGGCTCTAGACTCATAAAGAAAATTTAAAACTAAAATTTCAGTTTTGCTAAACATTTGGGTTGGAACACGTTAACTTTGAAAATTCACTAAATATTGAGTTTAAATCAAAATAATGTAAAACTTTCCATATCACAACTAGACATAGAAAAGTTAAAGATGTCAAAATTTGATAAAAATTAGGGTTAAGGAAGCATGTCAAAATAGAAACCCAAAACAGACTAGGCTGCATAACGTTTTTTTTTCAGGTTTGTACATTTTATTTTGAAAAATCACCAAAATTACAATTTACAACCAAACTGGATAAAATTTTCCAGATCTGAAGACAATACAAGAAAGTAAAACATACTAAAATTTCATGAAAATCCAAGTTTAGGAAGTCTTCAAACACTTACTTCAAAACAGGGTATGCAGTAGAATCAAAACAATTCCAGACAGGATAGTCTCTACTTTGAAATTTTACAAAAAATCAATTTAAATTCAAATGGCACAAAACCAAATTTGAAATAACCCTTGAGATATTCATTTTGATGTACCAAAATCCCAAAATGAAATTGGAACAAAAATCACATCGAAATAATCT